TATATATATATATATATATATATATATATATATATATATATATATATATATATATATATAATTATATATTAATATAAGTACAGTCACCAAATATTTCGTTGCCTTAACAAGATAAATATTAATAGTTACCAAATATTTCGTCAAACAGAATTGAATGATTTCATAATACTTACTAAATATCTGATAGTCATGAAATACTTGATAGTAGATGTTAAATATTTGGTACTATTTACTAAAATCTTTAACCATTTGTGATGGTGATTAAAAGTCATTTGTACTAAAATCTACTATGATCTACTAAATCTACTATGATTTATAAAATCTACTATGTAAGGGAGACTGGGGCTAAATGGCCCTAAGAATATGTTGCTTATACGCTTTTTTTAGTATTTATTTTGAGAGAAATAAGATATAAAATCGCGAAATAGTCCTTTTAGAATATAAAGACTATTTTCTGAGTTTTATTAAAATCAGAGTAATGTTACAGTTAAGAAATAGAAAAAAAAGATTTGGTAATAGCAAAGTAAATTTTCGAATCTTTCAAAAATTTTTATTAATATTCTCCATCGAGACTAAATAAAATTAAGCGATGTGTTGATAGCTAGAATGAAATTTCTTGGAAGCATATGATATACTATTTCTGGTAATAAATGCAATTTTCATTCATAAAATGATTGAAATAAAACGTATTGATGGACGAGGTAAAATTGCTCATATTTAAGGGCCGGCAAGAAGGTTGTGGAGACCTCTTGCGGAGACTTTAGAACTACTACACATATTTCATACATGATCTTCTTTACCTTGCGTTACTGGGCAACTAAACCCGGTACCAGAGTAAATAGCTCTGTTGCTACATGTTCGAATTTTGATTACAAAACAAAATATACGGTTAACAGAGTCGTAGCGAGCATTAATACATAAAAAAGATTGCCTTTATCACATTTATACAGTTAGTAACAACAATTAATTGCCTGAGCTGTGATTCCACAGTAAAGAACATTTAGCCTCAATCCCCTATATTTGGTTATTATTATCATATTTGGTATTAGTTACCGAATTTTTACTTAAATTCCATAACTAAATACATTTAGTAATAATTACCAGTCTTTTATTTCAGAGTACGTGGAAAGCAGCCGGAGGGTGTCGCTTACTCGGCGAAGATCGTTTGAGAGCTCTATAAAACGTTTCGTTACGAGTGCACCGCACCCTGCGGACCGCGCGCACTCGGTCACTCGTTCGCGCTCATTTAAAATTCGAGCGGCGATTCGCGCCAAGAGCGTCTCTTTTTCTCCCCCACCTCCCCTCTCTCTCTCTCTCTCTCTCTGGCAACACACACACGCGCGTGCGATAGTGCCGAGGGCTGGTGGCTTGGTGTCCGCTCCGGGTGTAAAAGCACCGTAAACTTCTACTCCAATCAATTCGGCGCAATAAACTTGTTAGTGGGCGCACCGTGTAGGATATTACGTATCGACACGAGCGTCGACGAGTGCCGCTTACGACGTATATATGCGCACACGTCGTCGACTGGAGCGCGCGAACCGGCCCCCTTCCGATCAATTATCTTATCTCACTTTATAATGAACCCCACGTTTTTAAGATAACCATAATAACGATACGCAGCGCGGCTGATGGGGCCCCCTCGTCGATTCGTCCGTAGCGCAGGGCGCGCGGCATAATTGTACGGGCTTACATTATCGAGGATCCGTATCGGGTAACCGCGAACGGTCGTATTGATCTCTCATTGGGCCTCATTTTCGCGTTGCATTGCGTTAATTTACATAAATTCGACGCGTTCTTCACTTACTTTCTCGGTCCGTGCGATCGCGTGCGCCGTGTCTTCCGCCGCAAAGATATTTCCCAAGACTTCCACAGACACGGTATAGATTCCGATTAGAATGCTCGAATTTTTTCCAAAATTGTTAGTCTTACTACGATATACCGATCCTATTTTTAGCTCAATTCTAGATTTTCTATCGAGAATTTAAACAAAATACTACGGGAACTCTTTTTTTCATTCGATAATATTGGCATCCGCATAGAAAATTTTCTATTAGGATTTTCATTAGCATTAGATAAACACAGGTGCGCGTAATTTAGCTAGTAATTTCATAAAATAATGTAATATTTTCTAAGATGTCTTAAATAAAAATAAACAAAATTAAACAAAAATAAACAAAAGAAAGATTATTTAAACACAAATAAAATTCAACGCATAAGAATTGCTTGATTTTTTACGGTAGTTTTACGATATCATTACATATGCAAGAATTTAATCCATTTAGTGTCTTGAAACAGTAAGACACTTTTTATCAGCATTTATCTTATTATATAGTGTGTACTTCTTAATCTTATAAATTTATTTATATTTCTTTTTATACACACACACACACAAGGTTTTTATATATGTATGCGCGCACAATATGTTTAGTTTTTGAAAACACTAACTTTTATCGTGTACTTGCTCGAAGTAGTTCCTCAAAAGTGGACGCCTATTCTTTGTAAAAGCAGTAAAAAAATATTCTACAAAATCTTTTTTCATGTAAAAAAGAATTCACATCTATATATTGTTATAATAAGTCAAAATTAAACATATTATCTGATATGTCAGAATTGGGAAGTAAATATTATGTAATGTTGTTAAGTTTAGAAGTAACCTTTGATCTATATAACTATTAAATACTAATTTTCATAAAGGATATTAATCTTTATAAATTTAACTGTAACAGTACTAGAAATATATTTCTTAAGTAATATAAATATAATTGAAATCATTATGATATATATTGTGAATACATGTAAAATACATATATACGAGACAAAACTCTGCATCAAATTATTAAGAAAAAATCTCCAAATCTTGGGGAGAAACCAGTACGAACTCAATACTTTTTATAATCACTCAATACTTCTTGAATAACAATAACGATAATGAATAATTTTTTAAGATGGTAAGTAATGGTAAGAGTAATTTGTTCAATAGACAATGACTTTATCTTTACATAGTACTGTTACACATTAAAATTACAAGTTACTTTTTGTCTGTAACTATTTTTAGTAAGAACATTAATTTTGTACGTATAGAATTGAAAATAGCATAACTCTAATTATGATGGTAAGAGCAAATCCACTTCCTTCTCTTTCTTGAAATTTCTCTTTCCTTCTTCTTGCTCTTTCTCTCTCTTCTTCGTCTTCTTTAATACTAAATGGCAACGAGATAATCAATCAGCATCATATTAAGCATTTCACTAAATAATGAAATTAATTATTTAGAAAGTAAACATATGTTCTAATGTAAAATGAAATTGAGAAAAAATATTGAGAGAACTTTAGAAGTTCCACTTAGGATCACATGCCCGACTAGAAATTTATCCTGATTCTAATTAAATTATCTGATTTAAAATATCTGGTATAAAATGATGGCTATCATATCCTAATTATTAATAAGATTCGAATTATTAATAATCATTATTAATAAGGATGTCCTAATCGCCACATTATATGACTTATAAGGACCTAATCACCTTATATAATCTAGATAATTGATTAAGATCAACTTGATCAAGATCATGAAACAAATCTCTAGTCGACTGATGGAACTGACCTGCTGCGATTTGCGATTGCTCGGTTTTTGAATTACAAACGAACGGGTGTTCGGGAAAGTCGCGAAGGACACGGCGCTTTAAAACTGACAAGGATAAAATACGCGTCGCGCGAATCCACCGGTCGTAGTGTGCGTGTCGCGCCGTTACGAGAAAATGCAAATATAGGAGCGCTCAAGGAGCGGAGGATTCCACCGCCCACCTTTGGCCGCTCGTATTCGATTCGAAGAATGTAATCTGTTTCGCGTTCTCGCATATGTGACTCCGCGCTCGCAAGGGAGCTTTGTAGTTGAAAAATTCCCGCCCAGTTGGTGGGGATTCTCCGGATGTTCAGATCGAATAGCCTTTTGCATACGCATGCACAATGATTGCAATAATGGCCGCTCCTTCGTAAGTAATCCTTGTTGTTTGATTGTAAAAATGTCGGTGTCGCGTCGCATTACATCCACGTTTCTGTTTGTCAAAATTTTACTTAGAAAAAAACGAAAACTGTTCGCAAAATTTGATATACTGACTTTCTTTCAAAATCGACTTCCGCGCAAAATTGATTCTTGAGATGAACTTCTTAAAAAAAAAAAAAGATTTTGTATCAACAGCAGTAGTCTAATTAGAATGAATCTTTTTGATTCAATAATAACAATATTATCGAAATTAATACTCGAGTTATTAAAGCAATAGTATTGATTATTAAGTTTTATAGTTATGAAAACAATAGTATGACATATTAGTTTCAATAAAATGCTATTGAATCAAGAATATTAATTACAATTAATCCTTTGCACTCGATAGTTTTTACGATAGTTTTTATAAGGAACTAGCAACTCGAAACTGTTTCGATAAGAAAGTAATGAAATTTTTTATAGCTAATTGAGACTTTTACAGCAGTAAATCATACATAAATTAACAGATAGAACTATTGTATTTCAATATTATTCATAAACATAATTAAACATAAACAGTTATTGTCGCCTCTTACTCGCTATTCGAGTTGCTGCATTAAACCAAGTCGCTGAGAGTCGCCCCTCGAGTGCAAAGGGTTAAGTTAGTGCTGTTGACACAATATAATTTCTTTCTGTATATCGGGGTGATCTATTACATTGCTATCGTTGTGCTATCGTAGAAAGGAAATCTTTTCTTAGGATTAAAGACCAAATTTACATACGTAAACTTCCTTCTCGCCAGAGCCCATCTCATGGGGAGTGAGATATCCGTGGCGTACACCTTCTCGAAGAGATACGCCACGTGGGCGGTGGTTGCACCGTCGCCTGCCCCGAGGTCCACCAAGGAATGCCAAGGGCCCATGAAGCCGCTCGCGTTCATTAGCCTTTGGAATTGCTCGCTGGAGAACACGTGCATGGAGCCGCGGCCCAGCAGTCTGCGAAAATGCAAAAATAATGTTCAATGAGACGTTACGTGCTACAGAACGTTCATCTCTCTCGTACCGGAAATATCTTTCGGAATGTCTAATATCCTACGATATATATATCAATATGTATTATATTTAAACTGTGAGAGAAAAAATATGTCAAAGATAACAAATACTTTTTTATTTCTTAGTGGGTACTAATAACATATTAACTTAAAACTAAATTTTTTCATGTAAATAATATAAACAGTTGCTTCCACGAAAAGTTACACGAAGAAAACACTGAGGATATCACTTGTCTAAATATGGTTGTAGTATCCATAGTATTTTGGAAGTGGTACATTAACTTTCTTTACTGCCTATTCATATGTGTTTATGCAGTATTCTCAGTACTGTATGGTGCAATCAAACTCTATGGATCTCTCAACCATAGTATTTGTTCTGCAGGCCACAATAGAGAGACAATAATATTCTTTTGATTGAGGTAACTATGTATATGAGAATGTACTAACTGAACATTACATATCATAAGAACTATGGCTGTGAGAATTGTATAGATAGACATGTAATAACAGCAACTTTTAATGTTATATCTATTTCACTTGAAATCACAAATTTAATTTTTAGCCGTAGAATATGTGAATATAGCAACTATAGTAGTTTTCTCCGTGTAAGGTTTTAAAGATATGTACACGAGAAAGACAGTAGTATAGCTAGGCCATATATAAATCTGATTAAGATGAATCTGCTAAAGATTCAAATAAAGTAAAATGTGGAACAACTAATAATTATGTGGTTGCTGTTAATCACAGCACACAAAGAGCAACTGAGTTACAATGATGATATCTGGTTGATCCAACCAGAATGTATTCATAGTAAATGTCACCCTGATTTCTGGTTATCACAACCATACTGAACAAATTATTTTTGTATTTGGAACTAAAATATTTGGTACCTATCATGATCTGGTTAACATTATCATGTTTTTCACTTTTATCAAAGGACTAATGAAAAAAGACACAAACGATGATTAAATTTTCTGGCAATTATTAAATATTTGATTGATCGCATTTTAATCAAATTTTGACTCGGTGTGCCAAATTTTCGTTTCGATAACAAAATCATTTTTTCAGTGCAAAACATGCGCTACTATACTGACGTTTAGTTGATGTACCAAAGTAACAAAGTCATATCAGGCATACACATTTTTACTATTTTTATGTTATAATAATGTATATGTTTGATATAACTCAGTTACTTTGATAGATAAACTGCATCCATGATGATGCAACCATGCTGCTCACAACTAACTCACATATTTTTGTGTCTATTTCCTTATCTAAAAATATCTTTGCTCAATAGAAAAATATTGATATTAATATCAAATAAATATGATATATTGACATAAGTATCAAATATAAATATTAGTACTTATAAAAAATATTTCTATTTCTTATATATTTTTTCTCTCAGTGTAATTCCTTCCGCGGATTATTGACTACTTCATCATCGATTGTTCATCGAGAGTTGAAAGATTTTCGTGATAAAATAAAGATCGATAAAGACCAGTTAAGATTGACGGATGGGGACAGACGTGACGGGATAACAAAAATTAACGAAGCAGGAGAGGATTATGCAGACCCTCGCAGTGCCTGTTCGAGATACTTTAAGCTGAAACTTATGAGATTGTGCTAAGGCACAAATCGCATAACAATGTAATGCGATATAGGCTCGTGCTCGAATGATGACCGTGCTACTGTCGTTATCATTAGCTGCTTTTACTGCATATTACCGGTCTATAATGCATCTTCATTTCGCCATGAAACTTTACGAGCCCGCCCCGGCTTAATTAGGTTCGTTATGAGGCGCATAATCGCCGCATATCCGCGTGTCCCCGTTTACATTCTCTCGTATAACTCGCCGACAAAAGTCGCGTCCGTGTACCCTGGTCGAGCAAGAACGGGTTCCAAATTATCGGGCTTGACACGACGCCTTGATCGGTAAAAGAAATTCTGCAAACTGCAGAATTAGACTGACTCCTACTGAAGCTCTCAAACACAATTGTCCGATGATTTCCTCTTAACGTTAGCGCGAAAAATTCCGCTTTCGCTTTGTGCAATTTGTATCTTTCCAAATAAAAACTGTTCTTGAATAAAAACTGAGTACCTGTACATTATTTTTTCGCAAGAGTTTTGTGTCATGTCGTAACTTTTAAATATAAAATAAATGTGACTTTACTATTGACAAACGTCACGAAATGTTCAAGAACTTGTGAGTGAGCATTTGGAATTACATAGGATGAGGCATTATGTAACTATTAAAAGAAAAATTTATCGGATAGAAATAACATGATATAGAAGCGGTCGTCTTATGGCGATAACACAATATTGCATTGATATCAATGATCGAACACCTTCTACAAATGTAAACTTTTATCTTAAAAAAGTCGTTAAAAAAGTATTTTTATGCCATAACTAAGTTTCAATAATCCTAAATTATAATCATCAATAATCTTTTGTCATGGTTGACATGTTGTCATGTTGTACTTCTTTTAATATAGCTGCTATTAAGAAATAAATACAAAAACAACATTCTATTAAAAAAAGAACGACCATCAGATCTCAGAAACTACTCTAGTTAGAAAAAAAAAAAAAAAACATTATCGTCAACAGACAACAGTCATTTCTGTCGTGGGTGTATGTGGATAAAATTATTCTATTCTTCTATTTCATGAATATTCATAATGAAAAAAGGATCTTGTTGTCGAGACCAAAATTTGGTTAAAACGAGATCAACCAAATGTTTGGTAATTGCAACTAAAAAATTTAATTGCCGCTTGTGTTCGCTTTCTCACTAATACATTCGATTTGACATAAGTAAAAAACATAATTACGCCAACAAAATCGTATCAAATATCTTTTCTAGTTTCAAATATAAACAATTTTTTCAATGCAAGAAGTGGTAATTATTATATCATCCTGTATGTATATATGTGAAAATATTAATTGTTTAACTTTAATAGTGGGGCCATTGTAGAGGAAGGATTAATCAAGATATATAAACGTGGTTTTTGATCGAATTCTGAATTTTCCGCGCATAAAAATGTATATAATCTCAAACTTGTCACAGATGCAACATAGATTCTGATCAAAATGCTCAAATTTGTCTCAAATTTGATTATCCCAATTAAGAATCCCATTCTTGTTCCAAATATAGGTTCTCTGGCTAAAATTGAAACGAAAATATTATCATATATATAATATATATAATATATATTATATGAATATATCGTGCTTTTTTTGGTCAATAATGTAGATATACTTTTATGATATCAAACAAGAAATTTTATACCAACGTTGTATTCGATACAATAAAATATAGAAAGTAAAATATTTGTAAAACACACTTTCAACATTTTCTTGAATACTGTAATTATTTGGAAAAATGACATGTTTTATTCAATTCTAACGTAAAATGAAAACTAGAAAAAACATTAGAAAAGCCTTGAGTTCCCCGCTTAGAATCGCAGTTTGAAATATTGTTTATATATGTTTAAAGTATTTACACTTCTATCTAGAACCCACAATTATTTTGGGAAATTAGGCTGGATTCCAAAAAAATTTCTATACTGAACGTATCTTACCCATTTTTAAGGGCGCATTCATAATTGGATCTTATGTTTAAGATTGTCTTAAGTTCATCTTCAGATGTTACACAAATCGTGTCTCATTGGCTACGGAGCATCTGAAGATAAACTTAAAAGACAATTTTATATCAATATAAAACTCGATTATATATAAATGCCGTTCTAGGGCCAATATTTATAATCGGATCTTATATATTTAAGATTGTCTTAAGTTCATCATTAGATACTGTACTGATCCTTTTATTGGCTACGGAGTATCTGAAGATGAACTTAAGACAATCTTAAATATAAGATCCGACTATGAATATTAACCAACCTAAAAGAAATGCATTTATGAGAGATTCTGAGTCCTCTCGCAGGCATTCCTCTGAAAAAATAACTTTCTGGACTTACGTCCACCCGCTCTTTATGCACACACACACACACATGCACACATATATATGCTCACCGATGCAATCCTCCCGATCTCGCGTTTCTCGGCTATCGATCGATCGAATGAACGACCGAAGAAGCGCCTGCATATAGAAATCGAATCCCCAAGGCATATCCCCTCGCGGCGGCAGGTTGCCCCGCAGAATTCGTCGATGTCATCTGGGGAAGGGCGCGAGGGGTCGAGGGGGAGGACGGCTGGCTTCCGCCCCCATTCCTCAAGCTCTCTGCACCGCGCGGAGGCATCGCGAGGAGGAAAAAGGGGCGGGTTCATTTGAAAATACCAGAGTCGTCGGCGCGCGTTGCGCGCCCGGCGATCCATCAATGCCGCGGAACGCGGGATTTTGATCGTGAATTCGGCTACCTCCGGCGTTATAAATAAGGCGATGGTGGTCCAGCAGCGGCTGCCCTCCTCTTCTCTACCCGCCACGCTCGTCGCCCGTTCCAATTCCTCTTCCCCTCGCTCCCTTCGTCGCTCCTTTCTCCGCTCGTTCACCCTTTTCCTTCTTTCTTTCCTTCTTCCGCGCCGCCGCCCGGCCATGGCTGGTGCCATCAATTAACGAGCACCTCCCGGTCTCCATTGAATAATAAACGAAAATAAGAAGGAGACAGGAGAGGAGCCAGAGCGTGGCGAGGAACAGAGATCGAGAGGACGGAGGATGGGACGGGGAGAAGCCGCGGACCCGGTTGGCGCATTGTTCGTAGTATCGTCCAGCTTCTCTACCTTGTTCCTTCTTCTTTCTACGGATCCTTAAGTCACCCCTTTCCCTTCCCGCCCTGCAAGCCTCAAGCCGCGTTTTCTCCGTCTTTATTGCTCCAGCTGCTCGAGACTCACCTTCGTATGTCTCTCTCGCGCATCGTCCTCTCACTCCTACCCCTATTATCGTTTTCACTCCTCCTCGATTATCCCTCTCTTTCTCTCACCTATCTGACC